CTTAATTATTTTTATAAAAAAGTAATAACTATTTATTTATATATCTTTAAAGTTAATTATTAAAATACTAACTTTTTAGTTAAAACTAAGATTTTAAGTAATAATAAAAGTAATAAGTATCTTACCTATATATATTTATTAGTATTCTTTACCTTTATATACTAAAGGCTAAAGCCTCTTTTAACTACTAATAACCTTATTCCTGCCCTTAGCTTCGCTAGAGAAATCGGCAATCGTATCCACTGTGCGTTTCAAGTCACGATAGAGCGGGAGAACTCCATTCTCAAAGATGATTGCGTAGGCCGGATCCAGTGGGAGGTAGCGCAGACCAAACTCTGACTCAAGATGCAATTCATCCTTGCTGATGAGGGGATTGGCTAGGATCATTTGGTGGATGGCGCTATGCCGTTCGCTAGTGAATCCCTCCGCCATGGCAAGAGAGGCAACGCCACCACCTAGATAGGACTGTTTCTCAAGAACGAGAACTTTTTTGCCAGCCTTGGCAAGATATGCTGCTGCAATGAGGCCATTATAACCTGAAACGACGACAATAACGTCAAACTGGGGGTTTTTGGAAGAGGTGAGATGACCCAGCTTGGCATAGTTATAGGCCATAATGACGAATTGAGAATAGATGAATAGATGGATAGATAGCTATGTGCAGATATGATGGATATTAGTTGTCGATATGTTTATTAGAAACACCTTTTTTATACCACGGAATTGCAAGAAATCCTTTGCCTCTTTGCTTTAATGTGTCTCTATGGATCTCACCCCAGCGGCCAGCTGTGAGACCAGACACCAGAGCGTCCTGTTCCGACAAAGTTTCTCGGAATTGCGGACGTGGGTGTCAAATGGTCCTTCCAGGTTCTTAGGCCGTTTTTCCGCTTACATACTGCTTTTGTGGGGACGCTCCGTTCCCAGATGCTACACCGGTAAAGTCGAAACGCTCAATTCACCTTGTCATTTACCTAGACTCGATTAATTATATCCTGCACTGAAAAAAGAGCGAGCATTAAGCATGTTTAAGACTCTGTTTACTAGAGTGCTTAGCTCCTATAGAAGCAGATTTATAAAGAAAATGAATTATCCTAGCAAGATATATCAATGTAAGAAGACGCTGGCTACAGTAAAATCACAAATGCAAGACAAGGAACTAAAGCATAAACGGAGAGAGCAAAAAGTAACAAGCAATGTCAACACAATTGAACTCTATACAAAACGGCTGCTGTAATACCTAACGTCGGAGCTCACCTAGGCTCGGGTCCGGCTCCATCCCTTGGGCCGCCCACGTCTTGAGCGATTCCTCGAAGCCTTCATGGACGTTAACCAGGTACCTCGCGTCTCCCGAGAGTAATTTCCCAACTATCTTCCCAGCCACCAGTTCTGCCGAGCGGCTCTGGGTTGTAACAAACTCGCTGAAGCCCTTGTGGAATGCAGCAGAGGCGTTTCCTTGCAACTCGTGGACTGAATCGGTATAGGTAAGGTCAGGCATGAGTAGACTGACTTTGATACCTAGAGGCATAAGTGACATAGCCATGCAATATGACATTGAAGCCTCCGCTCCTTTGGTGATGCAGTAGCCGAGCAGGTTGTCAGCAACAAGAGGCGGCGGAATAAAGGCATTGGGTGAGGCAGTGTTGACGACCCAGCCTGTGCCTCGAGCGACCATGTGCGGTATGAAGGCCTGAGCAATGCGTAAGTAGCCGAGAACATTAACATCGAACTCTTTTAGGATGTTGTCTGGGCTGGCATTGAGCACGCCACCTGAACGAACAAGAACAGCGTTGTTATATATGAGGTCAGGGACGCCAGCAGATCCAATGACGGAGGATGCAAATGCGGCAACGGAGTCTTCGCTAGCTACATCACATTTGAAGGCATATGCCGAGAGTCCTCGTTTTTGGAGTTCTGCGACAGTTTCTTGCTGCGGCGCGAGCTGTATATCGGCGAGTACAACAACAGCGCCAGCCTCTGCAAACTTGACTGATACAGCCTGGCCAATACCGCGGCCAGCACCCGTCACAACTACTACTTTGTCTTTGTAGTCGACCATGGTGAATGAGGTAAATAGTTAGGTAGGCATGTAAGCTAGGAGAAAAGTCTCGTTGGTAGTAGATAGGTTTTATCCTATAGAACGCATTGGCTATATACGTCCCATATGAGTCTGATCCTCCTAGTAAATTAACAGAGCACTATCAGGCATAACTGACTTTTGAACATACGGAATTATTTCTCGGGAAGTCGACCCACCATCCCGTCCTGGCGTGGGGCCGATGGAAGCGGGGCCGAGGCGCCTTATGCAACATTTCTCTGCATTATGTCGTATCTCTTTTTATCTGTCCGCATCCATCCCGGTACTTGAACCGTCTACAGACTTACCTCTATACTCTAACGCGGTAAGGCCGGAACATCCTCCTCGTCTGCGATAACCACGACTCTTGTATGTCCCGATTGCGAGGCTGTCTTCTTCGGCGCGATAGGGTAGGACATATGGATCTGCGGCCGTTTTCCTGCGGTGAATGCACAGCCACCTTCTCTCGGAAGTGTGATTTACAAGCAACTTGACAACTCATCAGAAACGGGTAGTGCTACATTTCCGTGCTGGCCTCCAAGTGACATGGGATCAGTTATCGGTCTTTCTTCTTAGCCTTCCCAAGCCCAAGATCAAAATCTTAGCTCTGTTGACTGTTCTCGATGAACTTAGAGACTTTCAAGCTTTGGTTCCTGGTGCTGTACCCTCCAATATAACATCTACAGGTACTTTGATCCTCTTGACTATCTAATCTACCTCCTTGCTAACCCTTTATTAAGTGCATCTAGAGGAGATCATGGGCCAATATCCTCACCTCCTAGCAGGCATGGCTAAAGTCTTAGAGAACTTTAAAGACTTCCCTTATCTTAGCGAAATGGCATCAGTGGCTTTAGCAACGGGCATTACAAAAGATTGCCTAAATGGAAGATATTTAATGTCTAGCAGGACCTGGAGGATGTTATAACCCAGGCTAGGGCCCTGAAAGATGACCGAGACCTATAAAAGCTATAAGTATGATTCCTTAGAGGTTTGCCCAATAATAGCAGCACAGAGATAAGATCTCCAGAGAAACCTTTTAACTTTCCTAGATATTAAGTAGTATATAAATATAGTTAGTAACTATATATCTTATTATATTAGTAAAATTATTAATATAAGTATTATATCTACATCTTCTAAGAGATACTAAGCACTAGCTAGTAACTTTATAACGTTTATTAACCGCTTTGTGAAGTGGTTTAGGGTTTTAGATATTATTAATTACTACAGCAGTCTGCAACTGCTCTCAGCCCTGATACCAGAATGGTGCGCAAAAGTCACTCCAGTCGTCCTTGGACATGCCGATCCCCAAGACTGTATTATCCACTATAAGGAAATTGATTATTCTATATTTTGTTACAGAATAGATGAACCCTCAGTAGAAGTACATCTTCGAGGCAGAATGTGATCTCGAGGGAGTTGTGTTAAAGACTTCTGCTTGCGCGTTGGTTAGCTTAGATTATCCAAAGTTCCTCCACCCCACTAAAACCAAGGCCAATTCCCCGCATAACAAATCCTTTGTTTACAACTTCGCCAGGTCATCATCCCTCAAGGAACCGTCGCCTGCTAGGCTACTGGCTTTTTATTTATGTCCAACGATGTCTTTCTATTTAACCCCCGACCGACTGCCGCAAGGTTCATCCGTCACATTCTATAACTCCTCTTTTTTCAAGCGCGGTCCAGAGCAACCCAAACTTCCTACTCCTTCCGAAGTCTTAGCCAGGCCCAATTATGTTCAGCACCCACACGCCGAGGGCATGAAGTTACATCTGCCAGCCGTATTTAAAGAGCTTGGACTTATCGTGAAACACAGTAATAACTAATTAATGCCCAAAGCTTATAACGCCTTTTGCCTTTACAAAGCATATTAAGCCAATATACTAAAAAATCCTATTTAACTTTAGCTTTTAAAAGGCAATATATATATAGCCTTAATAAAAATAAGTTTTTTAATAAAAAACAAAATAATATACTTTTATAATAACTTAATTAGTAACCTTATTAATAGTAACTAAAGTATAAAAAGCTACTTTAATCCCTTTTTTATTATTAAAAGTAAAAGAAATTTTTATATAAAACTATAAAAAGAAAACTATAAAAAAAAAACTATATAATTACTAAAATGCTATTACTAAATAAAAGGATTGCCTTTTACTTATTAGCTAATAGTTACTAATAGTACTATAAGAATTACTAGTTATTTATAGATTTATAATATAAAAAATATAAGCTACTATAAATACTTATTAAGGACCTCTTTAAAAAGTATAA